GAGCTTTCGTTTTTGACTGCTGTTCTAATAGCTCTTCCTTCCCCCACTGCAGATCTGAAGAAACTTGCAGAAATACGTCAACAAATTCCTATTTTGAGCCAGAAGCGTTGTGATCTCTATAGCGTGGAGATGAAAAAGTGAAGCTGGGTGAATAGGGAAGGTTCAGTGGGCACAACAGCTGCTGCTTTCGTCTTCAGAAGGATTCCCTTACTAGTTGTTCCACAATCTACTGCTAAACGTGCCAGTTAATTAAAAAAAACCCCAACTTGGCGGTGTAATTGTAAAATTGATTCAAATACAACTTTTTATATCTCTTCTCATACTTCAGTATTTCACAGCTACGATAAAGATGGAAGTGAAATGAGTTCAACACAGTAACAGTTAACATTGCCTTTTATGCATCACAATGTTTTAGTTACCTTTTGGGGACTTTTTTGTAGAACATAGAAATGGGAACCTTGTTCTCTCTGGAAATCCTCTGAAGTCAACTTTGGTATTAGGAATTTTTCAGTGAATTATCAGATAGTCTAGAAGCACGATTCTTCCACCTTTGTCCATCTTAGTTCTGTGTGCCTTAACAAAGTTCTTTGAATGCCCAACTTCTAACTTGGAAAGCTTAAAATTTTAACACACTAAGCAAAACAAGCCAAATTCTGTCCTGTACTATCAGGGACATTGCAGGAAACTGCCAGACAGAACTGCTACTATAGAAGCAGCTGTAACACGTTTCAGTTCATGGAACAGATGCATTAAATTCTCCTGCTTGCAGTTCCTGTTACTGCTGAAGTGGTGCAAGTTACCGTCTTGTTAAAGCCATTCACATGCCACCACACCTTTGCTACACACTGCTTCCTTCATACAATGTCTGAACGGGCTTTAGTTCTGCTGCCTGGCTGTCTGCACCTGAAAAGGCTCAGGGGAGTCAGTCCCAAAGGGCTGGAAAACTTACTGCACTGATCAGGTCTTTCTGCCCACCATCCCCCCGGAGACAGGTACTAGAAATGCTCAATGTTTAAATGCATTATTGCTACCACAGGCCAACCCTCCTCAGCTGCAAGGAGACACTCCTTACTTTGTTGCTCTTGCTGAAGAGCCTAACAAACTGATTATTAAAGATGGCTTTAAAACACTTAAAACTAGCTTAGCATTTTGTAGTTCTGTTGTGTTTGGGGTTTTTTTCTTAGAAGGAAGACACCCTGGTCCTTCTAATGTAAAAAGATAAGAATGTGCCAATGGCACTTTTTTTTTTTCCTCCTTGGGATGAAAAAAAGAAGCAACTATAAATATCCAGCCTTTACCACTAGAATTTTAGTCTTCCAGCAGCAAAAAGTAATAATGAGGCTCAGGGAGATTTCGAAATACAAAAATGGGAAGAGGGAGAGAAGATTTTGTCTTGCTGTAGCTAACTGCTAGTTTCCCCCAAAACGACCTTACCTTTTTATTCATGTTTGGCCAGCCTCTTCTTCCCAAAGCTGCTTTTCTTTTTTTTTTAGTGTTCTCTTGGCTTCTCTGGAACGAGCTAGGTGTGTGTTTTATAGAGGAAAATTAATGGTTAAATTAAACCAAACCCTGAGGCATCTTTCTGCTCAAAAGACAGGTGGCACCATTCCACGCAGTGGCACTATCTATTCCAGCAGGCATTTCTGGTCTGTACTTTTCACTGCATTTTGGTGTACATACTGTACTGGAACTGTTAAGAAACAGGCCACAGAGCATAAGGTGAAATGAAGATTTATTTGTTGAAAAATAAATATAAAAAAAATTTAACAATTTACTGTTTGAGTCAGATCTCCTGCATTAATTAGCGCCTCCCACATACTCAAGAATCAGCATCCATGATGGCCATCACCGGGCTCCAACTTGTAAATCATAGCAACTACTATACATCCATTTTTCTAAACTACTCCGTCTGTCTTTCCCTCCCCTCTCTACACTAGCTCAGCATGCAGCAGCGCAGGAACTAACTGCTACCTCTGGAGGATTAAAGTAGCGCAGGATTCTCAGGGGCTGACCGCTTAGTTTTAAAACGCAAAGTGCAGTCTGAAACAGACAACAGAATCCGTGGCCCGGACGCTCCTCCCCTGGAATCCCACATAGAGAGAACGGATGACAATCCGTAGCGAGCTCCTTGGGTGAACTCGGCTGAAGACGCGATGAGCTCAGTCCTCTTCTGCCTGTCAGGACAACTTCTAAGCAGCTTGTTCTAGAGTACTTTAGGGGTCTCCAGTGCAATCCACTCAGAATTGATACAAATGGGACTGAATTTGGGGGTATTTCAATGAAAAAAGTACACAGTCAGTTCTCACCTAAATGCTTAAATCAGTCAATACTCAATCTCTGCATTAGTAGAAAACAGGCACTTTAAGTATCCGTATTACACATATACACCAATATTCTGCAGGTATAGAAAAACAGCCAGTAACAGCCCTGAAATAGCTCCAGAATTTCAGCCTGCGAGAGTTTAAATTATTTGTAAAGAAATGGCAGCGAACACCACAATGGCTGTTGCATCAGGTAGTGTTATCACCACTGCAGCTGGGAAGCCTGGTTAAAGTTGGATCTAAGCTGCCCTTAACAGCTGCAGAAGAAGTTGCAGTACAGCTCCTTAGCACAGGCGAGTTCCCTCTGCTTTCGATCTGCAGTTAGATCCTTGCAGTTCAAGTCACAACTTCTAACCTCCATTTTGGCAAACTTGTCTCTAACATGAACAACAGGGATTTTACAATGATCAGAATTAAGATGCAAGACAATGGCGTAGAAGGAACCTCCCAGAGTCTCTAGGCTACACCAGGTTTAGCCAAGTCTTCAGTACTACTAGCTTCCTACATTATTTCAACAGATTCGGGGTTTTTAAAATAGCAGTAGTACTTGTTTCACTTCAGCTCTCCATCCCTGCTAAAGAAAACTTTTCACATGCACACCTAGCTTAAAACGAAACCTCAACTGTATCAGCCATTAAAAAAAAAAAAAAAAAAAAATCCCTTTCACTAAAGGGATCCACCTGCACACACACGTTAACAGGGTGTCAGCTACTCAGAGTCCCAGCTTTCCTGGCTGGATTTCCTTTCCCCTGTAATCTTCAGCTCTGAAGATCATACCTCTGTGGGTGATGGGAGCAATCAGAGATAAGACTTGTTAATTCCATATCTTGTCCTCATTTTTGCTTACAGGTTGAAGTCAGAGAAGATGACAGGGAGTCAGTCATTATTAGTTCTTCCTAGACTCAGAGCAACATCAAAGCAGCAGAGCGTGCACCACTGCAGAGAACACTTTCATCAAAACCTGTTCTTATACATGTCAGGGAGAGATACTTGAAGGTAATATTTATTTTTTCAGTTTACAGGTGATACGTCATTTACAAAAGAAAATTACAGACAATGCATCCTTTCAGTGCAGTTTCAAACTAGTTCAAGAACAGGCAAAAGTCTGTGATGATTTGGAATGCAGTATTCGACAGCACATGCTTTTTTCCCTTAGTTGATTGGGTGGGGTAAGGAATGGGGTACAGGTAGGGTGAAGAGGAGAAAATGCCAATGTAAGTAAGGCCATGCGAATAAGAACTCCTCGGGAGGACAGGACACATCGGTCAGTCTGGCATGTGTTTGTTCTCAGGTAACTGATGCAGAGATTGGAAGTTCCAGAAGACATTTGACACTTGTTACGTGCAGTGCCCTTAGAAGCTGCCAGTACCTTCCAATCCCTTCAATTCTACACCAACGCTATGATTTCAGATCACCTAAAGAGCTAGCTAAAATAGAATGATTAAGTCTTTATATCTACTCTCCACCATCTGAATTTCCAACTGCAGTTGCTGGGAGAAAGGAAGGTCATGTTGAAAATACAAGCTGCTGCTCCAGGGTGGCACAGCTAGAGAACAAGACAGTTTGACAACAGCATGGTTCATTTCTTTCAGAGATGAAATACACTAGACAATTCAGCACAAGCAAATCTAGGATTTCAGGATGGAAAGAAGCCCAAATTAGTGTGTGGTAAATTAAGCTACATCAATTAAGTATTTGCATGAGGTTTATCCAGCCACATCAATCCAGGGAGAGGCAAGATGGACTGACTAAAGCAAGAGAGCCCTCTGTGAAGCTCCTAGCTAGAGGAAGACTGTTTGTATTGGTATCTAGTAACTTGCCAATCTGCTGTCTGCAGAACAGTTGCTTCCTTCCTACAGTACTTGTAATCCTCAACAAGACAGGGCCTAAACAACAAGGAAACCAGTACAGATTCTAAATCCATTATTTGAAGTTTTAGCCTACGCTTTGCTCCTTATCTCACTTAATCCTGCAAAGGGGCTATTACAAGGAGCAGATCAGAACACAGCAGTCTCTAGAGACTGAAGAGAATTCAGACAGTCTACTAGCAGTTACTTTTAATCAAGAGTGTCAGAGATCACAAAGATTATATGCAAGCATGACCCTACCTTGGCAGCTCTACTCCCAGCAGTGCTTTCTGATCTTGAAAGTCCCTCTGAACCCTCCAGAACATTTTCCTGTGACATCCAGGTAAGGACTGCTGCACAGGAACAGGACCTTCCTTCCAGTAAAGCCTACGCTGAAGCAGTGTTACCTGGCCTCTTTCCCCAGCCAACCTTGGCACTAGCTCTCCTACACAGTACGCTAGGGCTTTCTGGGGTGAGGGTAAGGACTATTAAATTAATTCCCTAATAGCTGCCACAGGACTATTTCTAAGTAAGTTATGCAGAGGGTGGGAGGGGCTTTAAGGGAAGATTGTGCATGCTTGCATATATTTACAGGGATTCTCTCCACATCTGCTGACTTAAAAAAACCCTCTATTATTAAACAGTTTGAAAATTAATTTTTTTCCTTTTTGCAAAATTAAAATTAACCCTCAAGGATTAATTCCATATAAAAAAGAAACCTATTTTACAGCACTGACTAGCATTACCTTTAAAATCAACAGGAAAAAACCCACATGCTGTAATATTGTTTGATAAAGCAAAAATCGCCCACAACAATCACCCAACATGAACTAATGTGAAGTTTTTATTTGCATGGCCAAAATACCTTCCTGTTGTTCCCCTGCAACTTTATTTCCCTTAATAGGCTTCAAGGGTTTTGCTGCAGAAGGAACAAGATGCAACACTGTATACTTCCTTGAACAACCACTCCCACAACACCTAAACATTTAACAGATGTAGCAAATGACAACACCACGAACGGAAAAAAACTAAGTTCCACCATTCAACATGGTCTGCAACAACGTCTTTAGGGCCAGCTGAAGTGGGCAACTTCACTTTAGAAGGTCATTTCTTCCTCGTTTCTTTACAGTGTTGGTGGTTTCAATCCATACTTCTTTGCAACTTCTGTCTGGGCATAGGCAGCATCACAGAGTGAGTAGAGGTGGGCCATCTCCATTTCAGATTTGGCCAGGTTGATAGCTTTGTTGAACATTTCAATGGCTTTATCCAGATTGCCTCTGAAAGAAACCAAAATTTAGTCCAGTTAAGACTGGCAAAGCAATCTCCTCATCTCTACAGCATCTTCTGTCCTTCAGGACTTAGTCTCCACTGCTAACAGCTTAAAAGGACTTTGGAGGAACCACCACAAGTACTTGAGATGACTACGAGCACACTGAGCAGCTGTTACCAAGCCTAAGCAACTAGGGCAGCTGTTAAACAGCCTTCCTCTTGAGAGCCACCATGGGTGGTAGTGGGGAACAAAGTGTTCTCCACAGGACACCAAGTTTACTACAAAGATAATGCTGGGACAACTAAATGAACTCTCATTTCCCTTGAAAAGAGTTTGCATTCTTAAAGAGGAAAACTAGCAAAGACAAGAGCTCACGTTATTTAAATAGGAAATGTTTGCAAAATTTCTCCTGGCAACAGCTTAATCATCTGCCCTTTTGATGGCTGGACATACTCTGCTCTCAGCTACACCCCAAACTTTTGCACAATTGTAATACAACATGCTGTTACAGCACAGTGCATTATAGTCTTTCCTCTTCGCCCTTGCAAACTGCAGTCCTGTTGGAATTCAACCCAAATGGTCAGGCTTGAGAGTACAGCTCAGGATCCTCAGTACAAAAGGTCCAGTACGATATGTTTAAGGATTTACATTAGATACACAGGAAGCCTCATAATGATTAAGGAAGTCACTTTAAATGCAGAAGGGATGGATTTAAACACACACAGACTCATCTGCATGTTGTCCAGTAAGTATGAGACTGGTGAACATGGGAACTTATCAGATCATAAAGCAAAATTATGCCATAAAGGAAGGCCTTCCCTAAGAGTCACAGAACAGAAATCAGGACCTCGGGCAAGAGCTGACCTCACACAGTGCTGGGGCATAAGCCTAAGAAAAGCTTAAGATCCATGGGGAAATGTAAAGGACTGCTATAATTTCAAAAGTAACCAAGAACTCTTAACACTGCAATTCAACATTACCTTTGCACTTCAATCGTTCCCATGGTTTCATATGCAAAATCACATTTGTTATCAATTTCAATGGCCTTGCTTATGAGTTCTAACCCTTTGTCTAAATCTTGCTTCCACTGGAGCTGAAGTAAACTGGAAGAGAAGGAGAAAATTTGGAACAAACTGCATATACTCCTCCCATAACCAAGGTCATGCAGCCAAAAAGAGATCCCAAATGTCTGTAATTGCTAATGCAAGGCAGATAGTAACTTCACCACTTTTAAATACGGGTATGTAAAATTCACTTTCAGTAAGCCATGTTACCAGTTTAATGACTCTATACTTCTCTCAAGACAACTTGTTACACGTTGTTTTATGAAAGAGGAAACAACACCATCAAGCTTAAATTAAATGGGGCTAAAGTAAGAGTCACATACTTCAAGTAGATACTTAATTAGGAATGAACACACTGAAACTTATTTACAGTTTAGTCAAGAGAAACTACAGAAATACATTTAACAGCACTAAGCTGTTTTCACATAGTTATTTCTCATGGCTAAGCTTCTAAACACAAACATTCAATTAGGGTTTATTCATCTAAACATGCCAACTGCTCTTGACCAAAAAGATCGCAAACCAAAACATACCCTTTATGAACATATGTAGTGGCATTGTCCGGCTCAAGGTCAATGCATTTATCATACATTTCATCAGCCTTGCCAAACTGCTGTTGATCAGTTAGTGCCTGCATCAAAAGAGAAACCTATACGTCAATATGCAACCAAAACACACAGGCTAATTAGTACTAGGCTAATTCTAATTAAAACCATATTGATGATGTGAGATTGGATATAGCTCTCTTATCATAGAACAGGCCAGACACACCAGTTACCAGAGTTAAGTTTCAGAACTGAGGCTTTTTAGACTAAAGCTGCTAGGCTTTAAGTGCAAACTTACTGATCACAGTACCATCTGTAACAGGAGATCCAAAGGCAACATGCTAAGTGTATGGCAAGTAAAAACCATTCCAGAAGTCTGTTTCCCCCAAGTCTCAACTTCTTCATTTTTATAATACACTTCTTTCAAAGAGAAACGCATCCATATGCTGCCTAACTACTTAAAATCAGAACATCTCATGCTCCGTTCTACAACCAGCAGCACATTTTCCGAGAGAAGAAAGGACAGTCTCTGTTACAAGTGTACGCTGAACATCTGTACTAAACACTGCTTGACCAGCACATGTAATTTGTAGCAAAACAAAACTGTTACCCTGGTTCTACACACTGAAATCCCAATTTCCTTACAGAATCCCTGATGTCCCTCACGTGAGATGCCACACATGTGCAGGAATTCAAGGGGAAGTGTATGCCAGACCTCTGTCTCCTAATAACCACCCCTGATTCTTATCACTTATATTCTGCTCCACCCATACCCATAAATTCAGGTAGCTTATTAAAGACGGCACGTGTTACCTCAGAACTTATTCTCAAAGACCTTCATATATTATTTGAAGAAATGTATGTTATCCAAGAGAACAGGTGCAAGAGAACACAGCATTTTCTTTAAGAAAGAGAAAAATGTACCTGAGCATAGAGCGCATAGCCTTCAGCACACTTTGGAAATTTTTTAATGACATCTTCAAAGCCTTTCATGGCTACTTGCACAGGCAAAGGATTATTTCCTGTATAAGCTTGGCGATACTATTCAAGAAAGGAAAAAAAAAAGGAGGGGGGAAAGGAAAAAAGGAAAAAATCAAACACCACCAAAAAAACCAAAACAGACTCATCAGACCTCTACCTACTTTCCTAAGAGATGCATGCATCGTAACAATTACGAGTTACAGAAGGTGATGCGCCAGTACATCCTACGAAATCTGTTTTTAGGGACTACCATGCGTCCAGCTCTCTGATAGGGTGGACTGGGAGAGGAGAAAGGGTGAAAGAAGGAAGCCATAAGGCCTAATAGTTGCCAGTAGCCTCCCTCTATTTCAAAAGCCTAGAAATTCCAAGCCTAGAATTCCTCCTTGTTCACATCACACAAAGCTGTCCTCAGAAGATTCCTGCATGCAGAGGCATTGTACTAGCTTGAAATAGTTTGTTTCCAATTTCTTGAAGATGACCGTTTTCCACAACATCGGATCTTTATTTAAATCAATTTTATGTGATATGAGAGTGAAGATTTGTGTTCCTCTACCACAAAACAGAAAAGATGATCTACTGTTTAAACGAGGAACATTTCAGAAAGAAAGCAGCAAACCCTTACTCCAACTGAAGAAGTGTTACATTGTTTCTCTATCTTATTATCAGAAGATATTGAGATGTTTGTTGCCCTGCTTTTCCGTTAAATTGGAATAAAACAAAGAAACACAATATGTTTTCCAGAATTCTTTAAAAAGAAAAAGCACCCAGCTAAACACCAGCATGTCACCTACCAGAGCAAAACATTTCTGTGCTTGAGCCAAGGCAGAATCGGGTCGCAATCGGATACATTCATCAAAGTCTTCCACAGCCTCTTCAATTTGGTCAAGCAGGATTTTCAGCTAGCCAGAATGAAAGAAAATCCTATTTCTGTATTTAATCTGTGCTTCAGACACTAAAGTGATAATTCAGTTAGCATCAGCTACTCATATTGTCTCCAGTTCAGTTTTAGAAGTGCGTAGAAACCTACAAACCTCACGACTAAAAAATAAAACATAAAACAACAAAGCCACTAGTGAAACTTTGGCTTCATGCACAAAAAGGCAATGTCCATGTGTAGGGATTGAGAACACTTGCATTTTAGACTGTTGCCATTACTGCTCTAGTGTTATGTCCAGTCTCCAAAACTATGCTGTATTTTCTCAACGGGCTTTGCCTCCCTGTAGTTAATGCCGGTGGACTATTTGGATGTCAAAACATTTTGGCTTTCCCAGCTTGCATTTCAACTTTTTTTTTTTTTTATATTCTCATTCCTCCACAAGAGTGCTGCTCACTTCATCATTCTCTTACTTTACTGTGAAGTTACTGTAAAACACTAATTTTCAGTCTGCAGAAAACTTTCATTACCTTCAATCACCACGTAACACCATTCTTATTTCTGAGCACTAGAGAGATCTAATGAATTCATGGACAGAGGTACTTGATCCATGGAAGTCTTCCTTATGAATACGATTAGCATCACTGCAATGGTAGTGTTTCCTTTTTTCTTCCAGCACCTTTTACATTACTCTGTGGAAGCAGGCCTCTCTAGGTCTAGAAATTGGTCAAGGACACAGCAGCATGACAAGCCGGAGAGGGATGAGCTGAGCAGATGCAATCCTGGGCTGCAGTGCTGCAGATGCTGAGTTATCAGGAACACAGGCTACATCCGCTGTAACACAGCTTCCTTCTCTGCAGATGCTGCTCTGCTGTATCAGGTCCCTTCAGAGAGCAGCTCGTATCTGCTGTAAATGTGTGTAAGCCCCAGTACTTTCAAATCAGAGTTCGTATCGATGGAGGGCTGAGCCTCTGCTGCTCTGCGCTCCTTCCTATAGCTACAGAAATCAACTGCTTCTGCCCGACCTGAACATGCAAATGAGATTGTGTGTTTATTCTAAATAGGAGTTCATGGGTTTTTTTGCCATGAACAGTATAAAGTGTTATTTTTCTTTTAGTATATATTGAAATATTCAAGTCCTGGGACAAAATCTCTGATGTTTCTTACTTGTCCTCGATGGTGGTAAACATCTGCATTCTGAGGATCAATATCAGCAGCCATGTTAAAGTCTTGAGTGGACAGCACAGGTTGCTGCTGCTGCATATACATACTTCCTCGTTTGATCAGAGCATTAGCTCGAAGCTGTAAAAAAAGTTCAAAGAAGCATTAGCCACTCCAACATTCCTCCAGATTTAAGGCTTTGTTAAAAATGCAGTAGATTTTTCATTTGACTAGATTCTGCCACTGACGGATTTCATTCATTCTAATAAGGAATAAATTTCATATGGACTCTAAGTGAATCAACTCCCTTGCTTCCATCTCAGTGGATTTTCAACCCCTCAACAATCCTTTATAAGCCACGTTCCCTGTGCTTACACATACATCAACATTTTTTGAAGCAATATGCAAGTACAATTAATGTTTTTCTCTTATCTATGAACTGATTTTTCAGACTGGATAAACCTCCAATTCATTCAATTGCTCTGTTCTTTAGTTTGTATCAAGCACAGCTGTCTCAAAAATCAACAAGCCCTTGAAAAAACAATTTGTCACGAATAAAAAGACAAAACAGTAAATAAACTGAACACTTCCATTTAAGTATCTGAAAACACAGAAAAACAACTTCTTGAACTGTACTGCAAGTTTACCATCTAACTTCTACATTGTCTCAAGCCAAACTACAATCCAGCTGTGACAGATTCTTACCTTCACATTTGCATCTTCCATGCTGATGACCTGATCTAGGTCTGGTTTGGCAGCATTCGCATTGCCAATAAGTAAGTAGAAAGTAGCTCGCAGAAGCAAAGCCTCTGCCATGTATTTTCCCTTTCCTTCAATTTCTTTCGTGCTTTCACTGATAATTTTGTCATAGTTCTCTTCTTCCATATATTGTTTTGCTCGCAAATAGCCAGAGCTGTAAATGATGCAAGAATAGTTGTATATATACACACACGTATTCACTGAACATTGACCTTTCAATTCAGATTTTCCATTAAATCATAACAAATACTAACTTTTGTTCTACTCAGTTACAACAGCAGCATAGTAAGTGAAGTTACAAATATTCCTGGTTGGAGCCATCACAGACCGAAAATAATTCAGACCAAGAATGGTCAAATTACATTGAAAATATATAAAAAAAATGTTTTAAAGCTCTTGAACTTGAGCTTCATTTGTCCCTTGAAATTTTTTTTCACACTTAGGAAAGCAATAATCTCTGCCTTAAAACAAGAGGGCTGGGATGGAACTCCAGGTTGGAAAAGTGAAATATTAAACCTAGCAATGTGCAGTTTATATGTGGAAGAAAGGATTTCACAGCAAAAATTACAGTAAGCACTGACTTGTCTGCAGTTAAGTGTCCTGTATTCAGTGAATCTGTCTGTAGATCAGGACATTCTATCTTACTTTTTGGAGGAAAAAAAAGAAAAAAGCATAAAACTGTTTGCAATGGTTTCTGTACTGACAGCAGTGATATCTTCCAAAAATAAACTGGAAAGCAGCATAGTAAGTTAAAGCACCATTCACGTGGTGCTCAATCTCCACTCAAAAAAACCTCAAGCTTTTCTTCCTCAGAACAAACCTCTCGTTTATGTGCAACTTGATTCCAGAAAGATAAAACACCCTTTCAGCCTCCGTTGCTGTAAATTCATAGTTTTAATTAACAAAGACCCTTTTCCTAGCTCATCTTCTCCCCTCCTATCTAAAGACGAACTTGCTCTCATCCTTGGAAACTCTCCTTCAGTGTAAAACATTCCTTTCTCCAGAAGCATCATTCAGCATGCTCCAGTCCTCCCATCTGCTAAGATTTACTATGATACTGTAGTAAATATTCAACATATCTTCCCAATCTCATTGTCCTTCCCCTGTTTAGTGGGTCGAAGCCACCTACAGTTTGCAACTAGCCAGTCAGCTTGCATAAAAGTTTTAGTTTTAATACTGATCTCATTTCATAGGCACACTTTATTACCACAGGATTTCCCATACCAAATACTATAAAAACAACAGCAAGTTACACTGAGCAGAATGTCAAAAGCACTGAAAACTTAATTTCAATACTAAACAATTCCCAACTGTACTGTACACTCACTTTTCTTTTACTTCAGAAGCCTCTCCCTCCTTATCCTTATCTTCATCTGATTTCTCACCCTTAAGCAAAGGTTGGGAGATTATATCATCTGTGAAAGAACTGAAGTAGGATTTAATGAACTGTGGTGAGGGCATCAGAGGCTCACGATTCTGAAACAGAGAAATGTAATTGCAAGTCATTAGACAGTAAGATCAGATGGTAAATATGGAAATGGAAAAACTGATGCAATTATAAAAAAATTCATAATGAAAGAACCAGTGTATGACTTTCCACTCTCTCATTTGATAGTCTGATATTTTTGATTCGACAGTTTGACATTTAGAGCTTATTTAAGCTTCAGATCACAACGTAATACCCATCACCAGGAGAAATAAAGCGAAGATAATCAAGAGAGGAGGGAGATAGTATCTTTCTGCATGTGTGGCTAGAAATGAGGACTCAGGGTATCTTAGGACATTGGGTAGATGTACTAAAGCAGTATGCGTGCACATAAATTAGGTGAAAAATGCTAGCTGGCAGTTTAAGCATAAGCTTAAATTCGAGCAGATTCTGAATGGCAATTTGCCCTTTTCTCCAGCTTGTCCAAGAGAAGCTGCTGTCTGTCATTACAATGAAGACTAATGACGCAATATCCTAATTCTAAGTGGAGTTTGGCCCAGATCCCACACATCTTACTTGAAATCCCAGAAGTAACACTTCTCAGATACAAAATTCTTTGTACAGCTGAAAAATACTTCTTGCTCAAAATGAAAACCGCACACAAGAACTACAATTCAATCTCTCCTGCAAGGAAAGTCTGAATGCACTCTTCTGAATCTCTCTTAAGTTCTATCACAATACTGCCTATTGAAGCACACCTATTTTATGATGCTACTACAACCACACTAATAGCACAATTCATTTTTTGCTACCTCAACACCACACATTTATGTGAGTTTCTATCAGAAAGAAACTCAACATCTCAAAACCAACACGGATTTCACTACTTCAACCACCGTCACAAAAGGTAAGCAAGAACGTTTTAATAACAAGCAAAAAGGTTTTAATACCTCTCTCAACTTTTTTGTAAACCTACAGCCACTTAAAATGACTGCTCCTGGCCACCCCTAAACTTCCACTGTTCTGTCTTCTGCAGTTTCCAAACTTTAATGCAAAGGTGTCTGACTGCCAATACAGAAAAGCACAAGTCTGAGCACCCGTTTACAGAAACGGAATAGAAACAGCCTGCAACTGAACGTCACAAGTAATCTGTGGTACTTAGGAGATGAAGGTGTATTTTTCAAGACAGGTTCGGGAAGTCTGACCACTAATAAAAAGATGTGACTTTGCACTGCATCATTTTTTCTTAAGCAATGCTCTTTGGCTTTTCTTCTTATTGAAAAACAAACAAAAACAAAACCACCCACAAACCTTAAAACAGTATTATTTTTCCACTTTCTAAAATGTAAGAATTCTGCTGTCAACTTAGTCTTTCCTACATGAAATTTCTGTTTATAAAACCAAGAATAACCTGGGGGAAAGAGCCCTCAATCATAATTCTTCTCATTTTAAGCTATTCATTACATATGGAACCAACATGTTTATGCATTCTCAATTATTATTTACAAACCTTATCTCAACCAGCTGATGTACAACTGAACATTTGGCTACTGTTGTTCCAACATATCCTGTTTCCATTAGGTTGCAAGTCCAGAAAAGCCCCATGTAGGGCAGCACACCAACTTTGGGTGTCTTCTGAATATCATAATAAATTTGATCATTAAAGGGAAACAATTGTTAGAACCAGACCTCTCTTCCCTACTGAGGTTTCAAAAACTTTCGACAGCTCCAAAGGAAAACAACATTGTCACAACAGTAGCTTTGTACAAAACCATTCGTGTTGATTCTTACACTTCAGCAGATGAGGACAGTGACTCACAACAATTGACAGAATGACAACAATCAACATTTCAACAACCAGTCAGGTGAAATCAGAATTTATCAGCAATATCGCAACTCCTACCTTGTACTTCTCCTTGGCCTTCTCTTTTCCAAGGAGTTTAAGAACTTTATCAGCTAATAACATACTTTGCTGGTTTTGGAAGGCTTCTAAAATGCAGACTGCAGTGACATCTAGGAAACAACATACAAGAGTCAGATTAAAGACAAATTCTGATAGTCACTGGAGGACACTAAAATGTGCCACTGTTACAATGAGTCGCTGCCAAACTAATACACATCCTGTTCCACGGTAAAAGCCTCTGTTTCCAGTTTGCTGTATTTACCGTGTTTTCCAAGATACAAATTTGTATCCAAAATGATCTCCTTGTGATAAAAGGACTTCATGACAGTAAATGAAAGAAATTACATTTATTTTTATTGTCATGTTTTTAACTAGAGACGAACACGCTTAGATGAACAATGAAAATGTATACCTCCAGCAGGGGCTTTCACCATTTTGAAACTTTGAGGACATTAATTATGTTCATATTATGTTTGCATTAAAAGTGCTGACACAGCTTTTCTTCTGGGACTGGTCCTAATTTTGTACTTTTAAAATTCACATTCAGTCCCATCACATCTCGATTCTTCCTCAGTTTAAGAAATATTCCCACGTGATACCTTATATTTTTCTGCTCACCTCCATGACTTTGGAATAGAGCTAGTTTAAGAGAAATACTTTGTTGGCCTATTTATAGTGCTAGGCCATATCACATCACTTTGTTTCACCCACAGAAGCTTCTGCAAATGTTAACTCATTGCTGCCTGAACCATGCTTTGCAGTGAGAAATGCGATCTTACGGTACATTATTTCTCTGGATCCTCTAATTAATGTAATACTACCACTGATTTCTCTTACTTAATTTTCACTTAAACATCAGTGAACAGAGTTTGCACTTGAAATTCAAGCAGTGTATTGTTTGAATACACTTGAAAAGCAAGTGTCTTACCCTGGAGTTTTAGTATAGTTTCTGTAATTCTACACTGCTATAGGTACTATTATGCCATCATGTATACAGAAACTCCCCACGACCCTGGCACGGTCAAGAAGCACATCGTAGTCCCTGGGAAAACATGCTACACCCAGAAAGAGCGTGAAAGATGGTGTGCAGTAGTACCATGCTGTATGACCTTAGCAGACACGCTCTGCCCAAAGCAGGTAACTGTAAACTAATGCCTGGACTTGGGTGAAGCAGCAATGTCTTCCCAAATTATACTGCCAGGTATCACTGGAGGGGGGTTTTGCTGGGGGATGGGTTGGTTTGGTTTTGCTTTCCTCCACTACATGGACATACCCTGCTTCCTGGGATTTTACTGGCCATATGTGGTTAGCAGGTAAAAGCAGTATTGTGTTAGAAAATCAGTGTAGTGCAGAAAAAGCAAGTAATTTTCAGATCTGAAAAAACTGCAAGCTAAAAATCAAACACAAATCAAGGCTGAAAATAATTGCTATAAGCACCACTAACATTAAAATGAGTTACATTTAAAAGCTATGCTACTATGGCAGCGACACCTGATCTTTCTTGGGGCTTTTATCATGTCAGTTTATTGCTGCTACATAAGGTTTAGATTTTATTATAGCACTCTGGAAGCACAGCTGTTAGTCAATTAGTGATTGCAAAAGACTACACTAAATGACCTAAGTAGTCCTTTTCTAGTCGCTATGGTCTTACAGGGCAGAAAGCCACTCTGCCAGTATATAAATAAATAGATAAACAAAATTTCCACATCTTATTTACCTTCTAATTTATCAGACCTAATTCTTAGCTATTACACATAATAAAATTAATTTAACAGCTAGATTTGCCAGTCAGAGCACTGCCTTATTTTCTTGATGAAATTTAAATACATCCTTTCAATCAGTGTCCCTTAGTTCAAAAGTGCCCTCAGACAACACACCTCCTTAATTTTCAGGGCTTCTCAGTCACATCTTCCTATTCAAAATATATTCTGTTAGGAATAGCATTTGGAAGGATCTGACACAGTAGTTTCTGCCAAATATACAGTGTTAATATTAAAAAAAGTTAAATCTGTTCCAATTTTTATAATTTATACATCAGAATGAAATGCTGTTGAAGCTGTTCTCCCTTTAATGCCCACCAAATGCAGTTAAATGACTCTTGTTTCTGACCATGTATCTCCACCTGCACAACCACCTTGATTTCCGTAGTAGTACCATGTCTCTAAAACAAATTAAGAAGAAAGTCTGTCTGCTGTATGGAAGTAGAACAACTGTTGTCTGGGTTATCCACTCAGCACGTTAGATGAATTCAATTTTAAAATTTAGGGCATTTTCTGGAAAAAAAAAATACCTTGAGTGGCTACAGTAACATCAATTTCTCAGCAGCTATTTCAGATGTAAGCGGACAACAGCTTGAAATATGGGAAAACGTTTCTTCTCACAAGAGAAGAAAATGTATGTGTAGTAGCTATGAATGGTTTTAAATACATAATTATGTATTCCTGTAGTTCCAAGAAGTAAAAACAAAACAATCCCAGAAGTTATCATCCCCAAAGCAGATGAGCTAATTCCACTTTTAAGTATACACATCAAGAGACACTCACCTTCTAAACATTCCTTCTTATTGTCTAGCTTCTCATGAGCCTTTGCGCGTCTGAAGAGAGCTTTTACATATTTAGGATTAAGCTCAACAGCCTTTGTGCAGTCTTGTGCCACTTCTGTCCATTTTTGCTGTGGGAAGAAAAACAACCCAATGAGAGAGGCCCTACTCAGCTGCATTATATTAGCTTTCCACTACCAACTCCAGGGTCATGCCCACCTAACAGCAGCTGCAGTTCCCAGGGCTCTGGTTCTACCTGCTTGCTTCTATTTCTGCAAGTTTCTCAGTAAGAAACTGCCAGGCACCACTGGAAGCCACCTGCACCAGAAGAGCCACAAAACAGAAAAGGAATTCCTACAGAAAAACGAAACCAGACAGTTGTACAAAGTATACGGGAGAAGATAATGAGTTGGTGCGAAGATGCTTGCAGGAGGTAACATTGGGACTCAATGACTGGTACAAAACAAATGGAAGAAAAAAAGATGAAAACATAATGAAAACCAACAAACAAGTTTAACAAAGTGCTAAACCACTTTTTTTTTTAAAATTTGTTATTTCATTTCACTACACTATGTTACTACAAGGGATGATAAATTAATATATAAGAGTACAGCTGGTCAAGGGTATTAAGGACTAAAAATCCATTTATGTGCAAAATTGATTATCAAAACAGGCTTTTCAAATAACTGAAAAAGAGGAACCACATACATTTGGGATTATGGCATGAGTTACTCTTGTAAGTAGTATTTGATTAGACAAGAACTGTTTTATCTCTCCTCTACCTTCCAAGACTAGATTTCTCTAATCACAGTCTCACTTGATACTTCAGACTGTATGCCAATTTTTCCACTCCTTTATACAGCTCACCAACTTGACCTCATATGAAAATCTATTGATACTATAATTAACAACACTGATTGACTTTTAAAACTAATACCAAGTATACTCAGCTATCAAGTGTGAGGTTTTTTGTTTAATATTTGAAGTAGCATCCTTCCAAAATATTTGGCTTTTCACCTAACAGTTAAAGAAACACTGTAGGAGAGACAAGCGACACTAACTTATATACAATAAAACTGATCCAGAAAATAGGAAATTAAAACCTTGTCTTACAAGAAAGGGACACTTAATTACATAATATAGACTGAGAACAGTTAACAGGAAATATATTTCATTTATATGTGAAGAAGTACAATGAGCTAGTGAAAAAACAGCCGCAAGCAACCGCATCTTTTTGTGAAGGCAGCAGATTTCACCACCTGGGATTTTTCAGTGGACAAAAGTGATAAAATACACAATTTATAATGCAATTTTTTAGAATAAACACATAATTATCTTTAATTTCTTACCAGTTGTTCATAGGCAGCAGCTCTATTTTGATAGAAGGTAGAAAGATCAAGGTTTTTCTCAGGAGGGCACAGGCTGATAGCCTCAGTATAACACTGAATAGCTTGCTCATATTTCCCTGCTTTAAAAAATTTGTTTCCTTTGTTCTTGGCTGCTTGGGCTCTGTCAAGAGGGCTCTGAAAAAGAAAGCGATAGTCAGTTCAAATAAGAAAAGCATCACTGCACGCAAGTTATGCACTCAAGAGCTGATCTCCAAAGACATAAAATGGATCTTTGTGGTAAACTTTAGCCTAGACTTCTGAAAATCTCACTCCTTCCATTTCCTGGAAAAGCACGACAGATTTTCTTTTGCAAGTATATCAGATAGGAGGCAAACTTTTCAAAAGGTTCACTACAATAGTATTAAACAATGCAGTGATTTCTCTTTGGAAAGCTAAATAAGTTTTACTCTTACATGACTGGTGACTAGAAGAACCAATGAGATGAGTTATTTCTCCAGAGACTAAATATGCGAAGACAAGAAAGCCCTCAAAGCAATTCAAATGGGAAAAGTTTCCTACTGAAATACAGACAGCCTGTAAGAGCAGAGCTGACTCGGCAGACTATGAATTAAATATGGAAAACACTTTGTGGAAAGACCTACTGAGCAAGATGAATAAAACCTGTATGGAAAGCAAAACAGCTTTGTCTTCCCTACTCTGGACAAATTAACCAACTTTACAGCTAAGTCCTCTCCAGCTTCACACAACCTGCTTCATCCAACTGCTAATACAAAGTGCTGGACCATCACAGGCTGTCATTCTTAGCAGAGGATGGAAAACTTTGCTAACTGGCCAGTGAACCTTCTGTTTTTCCATCTGCACTTCTGCAGAAGACAACATTGCTACCCAGAACCCCTAGATTTACAGATCAGTTATCAAATGTTGTGGTTGATAACGAAGCAGACATAAAAAGCTTCTCTCTGTCAAAGAGGTACGACCCACATTCAAGAAATACAGAGCTGCAAAAGATCCTAATATTCATCTTCTGGATTTCTGCTCCTCTTTCACAGCCTAGCTTCAAGGATCAACGTTTTGGGACAGTTCAGGCTAACCTGCCAGACCAAAATGAACAAGGTATGAGCACACATGCCATCCTACCAACCCCTCTGAGGAGGGAAAAAGTACAAACTGGGGGCAGTAATGCCTTAAACAATAGCTGCAGGATTCACTACATCTCATCTGCTGAATCACATGCACTGAAAAGATCTAGGATTTGCCAGCAACCATCAATGCTGCCTCTGACCATACTTCTTCCTCCTCTTCCCCCCTCATCCACCGCCAAACTACACTCAGATTGCTGTAAGATAAACTTGAAAGCATCTTTGTGTTTCATCAGCCTGTTTCCCTTAATGTCTGCTCGTTTCACGCCAGTCTGATCACTTCTAGCATCTAAATGATTTTTAAAACTGAAAACCTGAAGGGAACTCAGGACTTGCTGTACAACCCCTCTTTTAAGGCCTCGTTTCCAATAACGGCATGAGAGAATCAGATAATGGGTACCAGTCTTAGTTCCTACATAAAAATAGGCACCAAAATAGAACAGACACTCTTCTGAGGAGACACTTACAAGTGAAACCATATAAGGCAGGGAATTTCTTAAATATCCCTAATACCAGAAAAGCTCTTCTCTCTTGGGTCACCAGTCACTGGGCTTACCTATTTGCACCATCTCCATTGTTCACAGAACAAGATAAGATGCATGGCTTTTAGATTTTTGGTTTTTAATGATTTAAATTCAAATTGATAAAAGATTATTAACTTAATCCCTTTTCATACACTGTGTGTAACTCTATGGATACACAAACCAGAATCAGAGTGCAACTATTTTTACTGAGAGCCAAGTAACTGTGTATTTGGCAAGTCGTTTCTTTAAAACTTAACCCAAGTCTGAAAAGGTTACATTTACTTCAAGTATGTCCTAAATTTAGCTCCCAATACAACAATGCTTCCCATTTAACTAAGGGAAGAGTTATGCACATGCAGCAGACAAACTTAACAGCACGAAAGTCAGCTTGAATTTCTCCTTCTGATTTCTACAGCAAACCACACTAGAAATGTCTGTGATCTCCACAAAGATCTCCACTGCTGTTCCAATTTAGTTGATACCAAAAAGAAAACCACAAGATGTGGGCCACATTGTAACATTCGTACACGTGTTCCCAGTATGAAAATTATTTAATACTGCAGAGATTAAGCCTACGCTACAGTTAGATTACTACTTTATGATCACTGCTAATTCTGTTAGCCCAGGGATCTCTTACCCAATACATGCCTCAAACTGACCAGTCCCTCTGCTCCATGCTACGCACTTTGACAGCCCTACACCATAGTCCCTGCATAAAGACACACACTACAGCTGAGGACTACTGGATAATATCAAAATGCAATGGCTGCTCCAGTGTCAGGTGCGGGATAGGAATTGTAACTGGAAGCAAGAAATCTATCATTCTGGGGCTGTCAGTGGTGCTCTGCTGGTTCTTGGGAAGCATGAAGTCTTCAGACAAGCCTAACCGCATGCAACAGGGATCAAAAACTTTAAAGAGTATGGGCATGATGCCACAGGAAAACCCATTAAAAATAGTAACTCTGTTGTCAGAGTAAGCTTTGAATAACAGTCATAGGACCACAGACCACACAACCAACTATACAGAAATGAATCACCAAATAGGTGCTAACTCCATGGTTACTCTCTGCCCCACGCATTGCATGAAGGAAGAAATTTGCGGGCAGGGAGTCAGAAGTTAGAGCACAACACACTATCATGTAATAAAGTCAGCAGTAATGCTCATGGCAAGAAAGAAATCAACTTTTTTTGTTTGTTTATACTGCTTTAAACTAGACTCCTAGCTCTTAGACAGTTTATCTCTGCAACCTTCATCACACTGCTCTGCTACAGTCCTCAGTATGCATGCAATACACTGCGGAATTGAAGTGGCCAACATTTTAACGCAAAGGCTGGTACAGCCCTATATCATCATCAATAAGCCCATCTGATAAGGGCTTCGATGAAAAACCAGAGTCATTTAGCATCTCATACCCATGAAAAATGGACCTCATATAGACTGTATAGAAATTATGCATTAAAAATAACAAAGTGTTGTATTTACCTGTTGAAGACCAAATGGTGATAAAACACAATGCCAAGTTTTAAACTCAACTCTTTTTTCAAATAATGATCCTGATGAGATTTATTTTCTTAGCAATCATGAAACCACAGGAAAGATAGCAGAAAATAGTGGATTAATTTACAGCTTTGGTATAGAACTGATCAACTTATGGAACAAAATAAACAAAAAATACAGCTTTTATTTTATTTCTGTAACATTTTTTTTTCCAAAGAAGCTTAATAATTTCTAAGTTACATATTCAACTTAACTGCAGTACAACCTGATGAAGCCAAAAACACTAAAAAGCTAAATCTCACAAGTCTCTTCGCTTTGGCTATGTTTTTATTGTTTATTGTTGGGGATTTTTTTCCTGTGTTTTTTTTTTTTGTGGGTTTTTTTAAAAGATATTAAAGAACTCATGTCACATTATATGCTGCAATACTTTTTCATAAAGCACAAATAAGAATACAAAAATGAATTCTTAACGTAAGATTAGTTTTTGAAAGAGTTTGTCAAGCTTTAGACTCAACCCTGACAAAATTTTTAAGCTGCTGCTTCTCAGCCCTCCAGTCCTTCTCAATGGCTACATTGAAGACGTACACAAATAACGAGCTGATTATGCAGGCAAACTTCATGTACCTCATGCACAAGTAACCAAAAAACCTCACACCTTCTTCTTCCATTTTCTTGCAAATGTAGTAATTCTAGACATTTTTTTTTCCAATTTCACTGCTTCTCCTCACCTGACCTATTGCCATTCTATGTGGTGCACTGGACATTTTTTGTCCCTGAAGTGAAGGCCCATATAGAACATGAAAAACTCTCACAGTTTGTCATCTTCTGGTCACAGAATCTGTGCAACAAGCAAACCAGCTCGATAAAATGAATGCAAGTTCATAATCAATTATCTGCCAAGGCAGTATAAATACTCAGAAGTTATCTGCAGTTACATAAAAAATAAAATCTCAGTAGTCAGAACTGCTTTCAGCAACTGTTCACTAAAAAGCGTTAAGAGTTTAAGCCAAAGGACACTCATGTATTTGAGAAGCTCTCAGTTATCTAGGTAACTAAATAAGCAGATTGCTAACCACCTCAGACTAGACAGCACTGACAAAAATTTCTTAACTGTTACTTTAACCTCAGCAAATGTGCTTTTCTCATAAAATGCTCAGAAATTGCATGCAAACAACAGCAACTTAACAGCAACAGACTGCCAGTTGTGAGAATAAAGCTTAGTAACCCCCAGCAATGCCAATATGGTTACAGTAGCGGTTCATACCTTTATATATTTGAGGGAGATTGTTTTGTAAAGCAGAACAAGAAATTTGCTGCCAGCCAATGATGACAGCAATTCACAGCAGAAGCACAAGCAGCTAGTTTAAGCATTTTCTTTTGGTTGAAAAGGATTTGCATGAGCCCTTGTCTGACAGTTGACATGTGGGAGGGGGGGGGGGGGGGGGGAGGAAAATAAAAAGCCCTGGTCTAGACCTCTTTTTTGCTCTCCAAGAGAGAGGACCCTCTTGATGAGATCAGGTACCAAAAAAACCAAAGTGTTATTTTCTGGACACCGGCTGCTACTGAATACCTATCTTTCCTCCCCTTTTTTTGACTAATGTTCATCTTGAGTCTTATCTCAGACCTATACTGAAAGGCATTAACTGAGTATAAATGGTTTTAAGATTCTCCTTATCACTAAAACCACTATGAGAAAAAGTAGGTCCACATGAGCTTAACATGTAAATTCAGAGCACAAGCAAGGACACACTATAGTTAGAAATAATTAAGCTCAAGTTTACAGTACACTTTGTCAATGTTCTCCATCAGTCACTTTCCTTTTAAACGAATTTGCCATTCATGCTTACCATGAGTAAGCGAGCTGCAGATGAGCTGCCAAGAGTCTAGCAATTGTTCTAGTGCTTTTCTACACATTTAAGAGCTTTCTACACCTGTCCACTGCAGCTGGCATGAAACATAGAAGACTTACAGTATGTCGATAGTAAGATTTATTAGGCAACAGGTGCACAGCACAACAGAAATTACTTTTTACATACTTTGCTTAGATCAATTCAGAATAAGTATCAACATAAGTATATCTAAACAAAGGGGTTTAATTTGTTCATATACTGATCTAATGCCACAGCAGTGAGACAGGCAACACTCAGCAATTGCTATTAAAATAGGTACTGAAAAGAAGCCATACTAGCTGGCTGTTGATCCTGATACGAGGCACCACACAAGCCAAGGAGTTTGGCCATGTTCACCCACCACTGCACTCAAGGACTATATCCAGCTAGGAGGAAAATGTGCGAAGACGAACTGCTGTGGACCCAAACAGCTTTGTCAGCAGTACACAATGCCACATGGCTGACTAAACAATTCAAGAATCTCTGCTCTACGCTTCCTCGCATACCAAAACCACCAGGTTAGCCTATGAACTTGCTGGAAGAGTTAAGGGGTGAGATTTGGACTATCACAGACTTGCAAAAGGAAGTGACTTCAACTTAAGGAGAAAAAAAACACTGAAAGAAGGAACAAGTTACCTCAGTGAGTAACCAGTGCTTGCCCCTGTCAGACAAGGAGGGTATAAACTTGCTAAGAAGTTATCATGGAATAAGTAAAAAAAACATGGATCAACTGGATACCAATTAATGCAGTAAATGCACAGCAGTTTACTTCTGCAACATGTTTAAGTTATGCAACATTCGCTACAAACTGAGACCACGTAACAAGCAACTGCTGTTACTGAGTAACTAAAACACATTCCATCTAAATTATAAGAAACAAGGACAATTTCTGTAATTAACAGTTGCAATTTGACTTCCTGACCTTTGAGTCATCCATAGATGCAGTTTTATCATTGGCACTTAACTGGTCCAGTAATACCAGTTTACTGTATTGTTGAGGAGCTGTGCTTACAGGAGCAGGAATCTCAAAACTAGTTCAGCTTTTCCCGATATAGCACCTATGCTAAGGGCTTCTGCCAACACGTCAGTCACAGCTCACACACTTGGCCAGTATATCCATGCCAAGAGAATTCTCTAGTGCAGACACAGCCTGGGGAAAAAACGAGAGGCCTCTGCAGCAGGTAAAAGCTTGAACTTCATGCAAAACAGTAAGAAGTCCGAGTAAAGAACAATGAATATTCTATACCCTACATATTTTCAAAGAACAAACAAAAAAATTCAAGGCCATGTCTTCAGAAACAGTGATCAGAGCATCAAATGGATACAAAAGCTGACTTAATTAAATGCACAAAAAGGTCCAAGCCCTAAATTACACTGATGAGTAAAAGAATAGTTAACTGATACACACACAGAGCTACTGGTTACGCATGCATTACTGACCTACGTGTTTTCTAAAAGACTTCCCTCTTGTGTTCAGACTGTGAAATGAATTACCAGCTCTTATCCACTGTACAGATTTATATCTGCAATCCAACTGAGTTCAACAAAATATCCCACCACACTAGAAAGGCAGACCAAAACACTGCAGGTAGTTAACAAGTAAAGCACCTGCAATGGTTGTATTTTCAATTGAGGGTCTTACCAATAATATCAATAATTAATAAAATGTGTGGAAACATGAAATCTACATGGCATCACTGCTTTGGATATGAGGAACAGGAAGGCAATCCTCCCCATACACATAAAAAAGTCACGGAAACCTGCAGCCACATTAATTTTCCTGCTGCAGGCATATTTTGACCAGCTAGGCAACCATCTCATGTAATCAGGCAAATCCGATACATTCTACAGCTTCCCTAAGTAATATCTCTCATTTCTTAAAAGTATAAGCAATGACACTCTTCCAGGAACTCTGGATCATACCACTCAACCATATGCTTATCCTTAGATGCAGAGTCTTCCAGTAATTTAATTTGTGGAGCAATCTGAAAGAGCTAGACACACACTATTTGAAATCAAGTGCTACGTAAGCATTTTAAATGTTTTAAGTGCTTGCTTCAAGTACAACTACAGAATGACTAGAAACCACTTGATAGTATATACTGCAATTCAGAACTACTATCAACAAACCCAGAGTTCACATACTAACACCAAAGTCACTGCAGCTACACAAAGGTCACGAGTAGCCTGCAAATCAGAGCTCACACGTAGCAAGCACGCTGCCATAAATATGCCAGACGCTGTTTGCAGCCGCAAGCCAAAGTTACCACAAAGTCTGAATTTGCCCTCTGTGCACTACTCGTTCAGTACTGCTGCCCATGAAGGAACAAATCACTGCATTCAAGTAACTGCCTCCAGGTCCAGCATAGCTTTTGCAGCCCACTATGGTTCCAGGAATGGCTGAGGGTACCTATGATTCACTAGCTACGGAAGCTGCCGCCCTCACCACTCCCGTGAGTTCCTGCCACTGCCTGCCCACACTAATCCTCATCACTGAAATGATCAAGGTTAAAACGGACCTTTTCCAGTCTCCCGAAGATGATTTTTTTCTCTCCTGATCATTTCAGACAGGAAGGTTAAACCGTGGTCTGACAGTTCAGAGCATTTCAGGTGGTACACAAGAATGGGAGATGAAAGTGCAGGAATATTGTAATGGGATTTTCTTATCAAAGCAAATCAATTTGCCAAATCCACCACTTCAACCATGCTTGTCAATTGTAACCTGACCTTAGAAATATGACATGACCATCATGGTACATCTGTGACTGCAAGTGTGCAGAAAGTGCATCTTAGAGCCGTTTTTCTACATGCACATATCATGGGTCTGATCACAAATCTGATCTGGACTCTGAACTTCCATGCTGTCCTTCAATTTTTGTACAGACTGTTTAACCTGAAAATTCTCACACCAGTAATTTACACCAGGATAAATGTAAGTTTTGAAAGCATAGCTATTAGGCAAACTCTACGTTGCAGTCTCTATCGCTTGAACTGCACGGCCTTTGAATTTTCACGGAAAATATTTTATTTTAAAAATATTTTGACCGTGTTTTCTTTCCACCCTGCTGTATCCAGCATCTCAGACTAACACATAGCAGATCACAGATCTCCTTCTCAAAATACTATTCCTGGAAGCAACTTACTCGTAGCTATTCTACACCTCAGAAGCAGAAATACATTCAGACAGCAGCAGCACGCTGTCAGATGCGTACTCACCTGGTTAATGCCTACTTCACCACAAGACGCGCTCACTAACTCGCTTTTCCAAGTACCACGACCGGAACAAACACACCCACGCTCCGAACAAAGTCCTACCAACCGCGGCGAGACGAGGAGAAAGCCGTGAGCGCTGCTGCCCGCTTACGAGCTCTCCGCGCTGACACGGGCCGAGCTCCCAGCTGCGCTGGGCTCAGCACGGCCAGGCCCCCAGCCGAGC